CTCCACCATTTGTCTTTTTGGTATACCCGACTCCTCAACCAAAAAGGTCTACATTTCCCTTCTATCTCGACACCGGCCTGAGCCATATGCTCTCCCCAACAGGCCCGTTCACTGGCTCTCTGCCTGTAGAATCCTGCCCACCTGACCTAAACAGGAAGTCACTAAGAGGTACAACCAAGAAGGATGTGGGAAAAGTTATCGCAGAAATGTCAATTAAGATAACAGCGAGGCATCCGGGCATAGCTATGAAATCAGACTAAAAAAACAAAAAGAAAAAAAAAATCACTCAATGTTGACACTATATTGAAGAAACATGTTGTTGGGGACGTGGTAAATGGGTCCAACTTTTGGGGGTGGGTGGTGGAAACAATGACCAACAAATTACAAGAGATACAGAAATGTTCATGCCCTTTGAGCCCTACCTATCCTGCTCTGCAGACCTAAGCTAAGGAAAATGATACTGAAGAAGAAAAAAGCTACATGCATAAAGACACCCTTTATATCATAAATTGTAACTATGAAAAAACTCAAAATAGCCCAACCATCCTACAAGGGGGAACCATAAAAGAAATTACATTCACCAACAGATGGAAATTATGATGGAAAGTATTTAGCAAAAGGAAATACTTATAACTTGATGCTTGGGAGAGCACAAAACTGTATTGTGAACATGCTATAAAAATCACATAGATGCTTGAATGAGATTGTGTAAGGGGGCACAGAGAAAGGAAAATCACCACTTACTAGGAGGCTGTTTTTATTAGAATATTGTTGATGTGATAAAAGTCTATAGAAAATGCTACCCTTCCTTCAAAACCCTCTGTTTACCTTGTTCCTAAAGCTGATTGGGGGTCCCTGAGTGTACACTAGGTTTAGCTCCCTCTGGACCAGAAACTTCATGGGCAAGAACTATGTTTCAGTTTTCTTTGTCTCAGTTGAGCACTTGTATTTGCCTGGCACACGGTAAATGTTCAATAAGTATTTTTTTAAAGTGAATTCAGCTAATGCAAAGGATTACATTATGCTTAGAAGTAAAACTCAACAGATCATGTTCTCTACTATGTTGTCTCTTGGCAAAAGGTACTCAGAGAAATAGATCTTTTTTAAAGGCTTCGTGGGAAGGAAAATCTACATTAAAAAAGTTAAGCATTTTACATCTGGGGTGATGCATGTGCAGCAATACAGGCAACTCTTGAAAATATACCAAGCCTCTTGGGAAGTATTTACATTTGCCTTGTAAGGCAACAGGATGTTTAAAATTTTAAAGCCATGCTGAGGTTTGCCCCTTTGGACCCCACTGGATCCCAGCCAGAAGGAAAACTATTCACCACTCCTCCTGGGACCCCCAAAGCTGCTGTGCCTGAGTCGGAGCCTGTCTTGAATGAGTTTAAATGGCAGAGCTGAGGGAGAGACAGGAAGTATGACAAGGTGGCAGGAGCTTAGCTCTCCCCAAGAGAAAAACAGGAGTTTACTGCGTGCTCGGCACGCTTTGCGCGTCACCTTAGGCTCACATTTTACAGATTAAGAACGTGAAGTTCAAAGATATCGTATTACTCACCCAAGGTCAAATGGCTAGTGAGGTGTGGGCCAGGACCCCACAGCTGCCACAGGCCATCACCTTCTCTCTCCAGCATGCTTTGCAACCCTCTCTAAACGCCCTATTTTGGCTTTTGGTCCTGGCTGGTGGTGTCTCGGGGTCTTCCTTTTCGTTTTGTTTTTCTTTCTCCGTTTTCTCAATTTTGAAAGGCCAGTTAATGCTTCTGCAGGATCCTGGCAGGGAGGAAGCAGGCAGATTCTTGCCCAGATATCTCCCTTTCTCGCAGCCTGCAATTCAGACCATTCTCACCTGGCTTACATTTTCTCTCGAGTTTTCAGCCCGGCTCCCCAGCCCTTGATTTCACTCCCTGCTCTCTGAATCCCTGTGGTCATTGGTCAATTCTCCCCAGGAAAATCACACACTCCCTTTGATCAGTGACTTTTTCTGATGCCTGAGCGCGTAAGTCATTCCCAGGACATGTTTTCTTGAACTGAACGCAATCTCCCATATGGTGGAGTGGGTTTGGAGATGAAAACAGCAGTTGTTCGAGAAAGAGTTTCTTCCAAAATTAAATGAATTTTCTTTTCTTTTGGAAGTAAAGCTTTTTCACAAATGGCACTTTTTAACATTTAAGATTCTCCTTCTCTAGCTGTGTCCCCTTTCCTCTTTTCTCTCCCAACCATTTTGTCTGCATGCAAAACTGCTACTTAATGTAACAATCCCATCTAATGAATACCAGCTACCCTCGGGCAAACCCTCTCCACCTGCTGTCCGGCGGGGCTGCCTCCCCTTTGCTCACTTACATTCATCTTAGCTTTATTTTGTGCCCTTCCGGTTGTCTTCCTAAAATACAGAATTCCACATCAACTAAACATTAGTGTAGCAAATAGATGGTGCTTAGTAAGTTCCAAATACTCCCATTCTCCTTGTCTGGGGCTCACACAGTTAAATATTAAATGGTAGCAGATGTTCGTGCTGGGGACTCCCATTTCCAGGCCTGGATTTCATCATTCTCTTTAAAAGTCCATTTTTCGCCCCTTTATTCTTCCACTTAAAAAAGAACATTATTTAGGTTTAAATGGAATTAAACCTTCAGCGTTTGAATGGTTTTGCGATAGATGCTTTTTCTTTTAACCAATTAAGGGAGATGGTGGAAATTGAGACTATGCCTTCTCAGTTTGCTGTGTTATTATGTAGACTTCAAAAGAGTAAATGAATATTTTAATACATGTGTGTAGTGAATGAAATCCAGCCATCGATTCTTTGCAGCTCTTCCCACCAAGAGGCAGAGTCTATTTTTCCTACCCTTTCAACTGGGGCTGGCTTTGTGACTTGCCATGACTGATATTAGATGGCTAAGCGGGCATCCCGTGAGTTCAGGGACTAGACCTCAAAAGGACTCGCAGCTTCTGCCCTTATCACTCAGAATGCCCTGAAACTGCCATAAAAAGAAGGCTGGAGGGTAAAGAGGCCCTGCTGGAGGGTAAAGAGGCCACACGGAGAATAGCACAGCAATCACTGCCAGACAGGAGTGAGGCTATTTTGGATCCCCCAATTCAGCTGAGCTCTGGCTGAAAGCAGCTGCTTGCGTAAGCCCAGGTGAGACCAGTAGAGCCCAGCCAGCCTACAATATTAGGAGAAATAAATCATTTTGTTTTAAGCCACTAAGTTCTGGGAGTGGTTTGTTCTGTAGTGACTGATAACTGAAACACTGTGACATCACCAGGTCACTGTGAGTGTGTGTCTAATCCACATCTGTGCATTTTAAAGGAAAAACAGCTGCTTAGATTTTAAAGGCCATTGCTTTCTTTGGATGTTTCCCATATTAGAAATGGGCTTGTTAGGGGATACGTAGCGGATAGCCTAGAAATTTGCACTAACAATATGAAGCAAATAAAACATGTACACACCAAAAATATATGCTGCCCCTACAAATATCTGACTAGTCTCTGAAAAGTATGCACCTTAATGCACTTTTATTATGAAGTATTTCTGGTCTACACAAAGCATAGAAAATAAATATCAAACAATGCCTAACACCACCTAGCTAAAGAAAGACTATTACGGATACACTGAAAGCAACTCCCCAATCACATTCTCCTCCTCCCTCACTAGAAGGAATCGCTGTCCCTAATTGGGATTTACCATTCCGGTGCAAGTCTCTATTTGCTATATAGCTTTGCAGTTGTACAAGTTTATGTAAGGCAAGTTATCTGTATGCATCCACAACTCGCTTTCTTTGTTTAATGTCAGGTTTTTGAGCTTTATCCACGTCAGTGCAGGTGGAAAAACACTAGACTTAACTCTTGGAAAAGTGTAAGGTGCTCACCCTATGGGAGTCAAGCATGGGAATCAGGACCCCCACAGGGACAATGTGGAATCATTAGATCCTATTTCACATTCAGTGTAACATCAGGTCAGCTGGTTTTTTTCCTTGTCTGTCACTCACCTCCTCCTCCCTTCCTTCAGTGTAAGTATATTAAATACATGAACACCAAGTGAATCTACCTGAATATCAAATGAATATCAAAGCAGAAGGCAAGGTCTATATTGTAGATTTCAGCATTGTCCAACATAAATGTAATATGAGCCACATGTATCATTTTAAATCTTCTACTAACCACATTTTGAAAAGTAAAAAGAGGGGCACCTGGGTGGTTCAGTTGGTTGAGGCTCCGACTTCAGCTCAGGTCATGATCTGCCAGCTGATGAGTTTGAGCCCTGAATTGGGCTCTGTGCTGACAGCTCAGAGCCTGGAGCCTGCTTCCGATTCTGTTTCCCTCTCTCTGCACCTTCCCTGCTCTCACTCTGTATCTCTGTCTCTCTCTCAAAACTAAATAAACAGAGATGCCTGGGTGGCTCAGTCGGTTAAGCATCCGACTTCGGCTCAGGTCATGATCTCATGGTTCGTGGGCTCAAGCCCCACATCGGGCTCTGGGCTGACAGCTCACAGACTGGAGCCTGCTTCAGATTCTGTGTCTCTCTCTCTCTGACCCTCCCCTGCTCACACTGTCTCTCTAAGAAATAAATAAAAACATTAAAAAATTTTTTTTCCAAAATAAACATTAAAAATTTTTAATGTAAAAAGAAATACATCAACATTTTAATAATACATTAAATAATGCCTAATATATCTAAAATATTATTTCAATATGTAGTCAGTATGAAAATGATTAAAATTTGTTTTTCTCATAACAACTATTCAAACTCTGATGTGCATTTTACAGTTACAGCGTGTTAATTTATAGTTACATTTCAAGAGCTCAGTAGCCACATTGGCTAGTAGCTACTGTATTAGCACAGATCTATGTTTAAAATCTGACCTGAGGGGCACCTGGGTGGCTCCCCCAGTTACGCATCTGATTCTTGGTTTCAGCTCATGTCACGATCTCATGGGTTTCTGGGTTTGATCCCCGCCATCAGCCCAGAGCCTGCTTGGGATTCTCTGTCTCCCTCTCTCTGCTCCTCCCCTGCTCACACGCACTTTCAAAATAAAAAAATAAATAAAAAATCTGACCTGAAAACACAGACAGAGTAATCCTCAGTATGTCAATCTTCGTATTAACAAATGAACACTATGAAGGTGCCTGGATCTTTCCACGAGGCTAGAGAAAGTCTTTGCAAGGGGGCCTGAGGGCCGCTGGGATGGGGGAGGCGAGGCAGCACCAAATGGTTTGGGATGTCTCGTGGGGAGGGGTCACACTGCAGCCCTGTCCTCCCTTTACATGTCTTAGGAAGGTCACTCGAACCCCTAACCTTTTGGGGCCTCAGTTTCTCTCTCCATAAAACTGGGGATGGATGAGGAGTGTTTTAAGGGCCTTTGTAGCACGGATGATCCTGAGTTTTCCATTGCCCGTGGCCAGTCTGCCTTGGGATAAGGGCCAAGCTGGTCCTCTGCCGAGGGGATGGGATGCTATTTGTCTTCCCAACATGGAGCATCATTCAAAACGGACTCCTGCAAGTCCCACGAAGCTGACACACAAACGCCTGTTCTTTCAGAAGGACCACAATTCTGCCCGCGCCAGCCTGGCACCACGGGCGTCCATGGCCAGAAGGAACCACAAACCAACTCCCCTGGGTGGCATGGTCCAGGCGGCACTTTATTTAGAGGAATCCACACAGAGATGCTACACTTTGGCCTGGGCATATGATTATATGGTTTTGATGCAAACTGCCTTACGGGAACTCAAAAATACTGGCTCCAAATCCTAGCACACGCCACAGTTACTGTGCCCTGCCTCAGTTTCCCTTTTTCTCAAAGTGGCAGTAGAGCTGTTATTTATCAGGTAAGTATGCTGGTTCTGTCCTGGTCCCCAAATCACTTTTCAAAGAAATACAAGTCTTTACATAAATGCTGCATAAATCCAAGTTCTGAAGTGACTTTGAGCTGAAACCAGATTTGAAGTCAGGGGAGATCTTGGGCTTCATCCTGTTTTCTTCTTTGAAAGCTGATGGCTCTTTGGAGGACAGGTGGCCATGGCTAGCTGTGGGATCGGAGGAAAAGGAAGAGAGATGGTAACCTTTGTTCTGTTTTTCTTTAAAAAGTTTTTATAAACGTTTATTTTTTTCTTTTAATTTTTTTCTTTTATACTTTATTGTCAAGTTGGTTTCCATATAACACCCTGTGCTCATCACCACATGTGCCCTCCTCCATGCCCATCCCCCCCCCCACAATGTTTATTTATTTTTGAAGGAGAGAGACAGAGTGTGAGAGGGGGAGGGGCAGAGAGAGAGGGAGACACAGAATCAGAAGCAGGCTCCGGGCTCTGAGCTGTCAGCACAGAGCTCGATGTAGGGTTCGAACTCAAGAGCCATGAGATCATGACCTGAGCCCATGTTCTTTTTTTTTTTTTAATGTTTATTTATTTATTTTGAGAGAGAGGTGGGGGAGAAAGGGGAAGAGAGAGGGAGAGAGAAGGAATCTCAAGCAGGCTCCGCACTGTTAGCACAGAGCTTGATGTGGGGCTCAAACCCATGAACTGTGAGATCATGACCTGAGCTGAAATCAAGAGTCAGAGCCTTAACCGATGGAGCCACCCAAGCGTCCCAAGAGATGGTAACTTTCACCCGTTCATCAAGCCCTTACAAAGAGAGAGGCGGGTCAGTGTGCCCCTGAAAGGGAGGATCCAAGCTGTTACCATTTTCCAAGTCCCTTTTGGGATGGGCACCAAAGGGATAAGCTCTCGAGTCATTCTTCTCTAATCATGGGCGGGAAGGAAAAGGAAGGCTCTCTTGCTAATGTAACTTTTTATCAATAGTCAAGAGGGCCACTTGTCAGTGCATTCCGATTCTTGGCAAACTGTCATTAGACATAAATCTAAAGTTAATGCAGTGCTACATCCACCCCCCCCACCTTGCCCCACCCCACCTTATTCCTAAAGAGATGGGTCATCACCCAAACTTTGCAGGCTCGTTCAGAAATTACTCTCTCTCGGAGAGCTCATATATCCTGCAAAGTTCTTGGTTTGATCCTCTCAAGGTTGTGATATTTATTTTCAGATATGATTTAAATTTCAAAAGTAATTTAGAATTCAATTTAATTTAAAAAGATATTCATACAGGAGGGCCTGAGTGGCTCAGTTCGTTAAGCATCTGACTGTTGGTTTCAGCTCAGGTCACGATCTCACAGTTTCGTGAGTTCGAGCCCTGCTTTGGGTTCTGAGCTGACAGTAAGGAACCTGCTGGGGATTCCCTCCCTCTCTCTCTGCCCCTCCCGCACTGGCCGTGTCTCTATCTCTCTCTTAATCAATACAGAAACTTTAACAATTCTAAAAAAATAAAAAGTTATACATAAATACACAGATACAAATATACACGTACAGATGCACAAAAATCTGGTAGAAATGAAAATATTCTAAGAGCGTGTTCAACAAAAAGCTTCCTGTGTATTATTTCAAAGCTATTCTATGCATAAAAAATATTTTTCAGGAGCACCTGGCTGACTCAGTCAGTAGAGCATGAGACTCTTGATCTATCTTGGGGCTGTAAGTCTGAGCCTCACTTTGGGTGTAGAGACTACTTAAAAATAAAACCCTAAAAAATATTTCTTCAGACATTAAAAAGAGATACACTGTTTAATTTTAAAACCATTTACCTCAAGACAAAGTAGAAAGGCAGAAACCTGTGGATTTAAAAAGCAAGAGAAAAAAAAAAGGCTGGGCTATAATTGTTTTAAATGATGTGTTGATGTGTTGAGTTTAAAAATATTTTGATGTGTTCCAATGCATGGAAAACAAGATGCTGTGAATCATTGACTGTCCTGAATAAACTGTCCAATATGATTATATATTTTTGTGCTCACTTGGTAAGGTCACCTTGGCGAGTTTACATAATACTATACAGAACACGGAAAGCTACCAAGTAAACTGGAGTGGGCAGGGAGGGAGGGAGGGAGCAGAATCACCCAGTAGAGAAGAGGTGCTAGAAGGAAAAGAGATGGAAGGCTAGAGAGGTAGGTAACCAGGCTCCAGGCTGGCGCTTTCCTGGAGGGGTTTGTGCAGTGATGAAAATGATCATGTTCTGCACTGAGCACCGTGGCCACCGGAGTTGCTGAGCACTTGAAATGCGAGGGGCTCAAATTTTCATTTCATTTCATTTTAATCTATTTGCATTTAAATGGCCCATGGATGGCTATTTTGGCAACGGACAAATAGAAGAAGCAAAGGAAGGAGATGGGGGAAGATTAAGACACAAGTGGAAAAGCTGAGGACAGTTGTCTTAAGGGACCGTGAGTGACCCCGTACCACTGGAAGGGAGGGAGCTTCCTACCTACCGACGTCTCCGTGGCAGCAACAGTGGAATGGCCTCTCCAGGACTAAATCCCAGAACAAAGATGTCCCACCTGTGCTGACCGTGGGAAGCCTACGGGCCTTAACTGTCTAAATTGTGAAGGGAGCAGGAATCCATCTTGCCAAGGACTCCACTGCCCTAATGGGTAAAATAAAATCGTTTACTCCAAGGAAAACCTACAGCTTTGACACCACCACTAGGTGTCACCATTAACCAAAATGAGTTTTTTATTTTTTTAACCAGCAACTCTTGGTGAAAGATTTTTTTCTTTGAATCTGTATCTGATTTGGTCATTTTCTCACTTCGTCACACCAAAAGCAAAGTGGGTTATGTTCTTGGAGCCCACTAAACAGGCGTATTCAGTCTAATTTGGCTTATTTTTCTTTCCACTTAAAACTCTGCTAAATGCCACAAACATGGCATGAATGCATGCACACATGCTCACTCACTCACTTGTTTGCTCATTCATTCATTCATTCATTCAACATTTACTATGTGCCAGGCAGGGGCCTTGTGTACAGCTGTGCACGTTGTGTACTGCACAATCGGGGGGGGGGGGGGGGGGGAGTGGCACTGTTAGCATAGACCTCAATGTGAATGGTTGCTCCCTGAAGTTGTTCAGGCCAGTGACTCTGCAAGACTCTTTTCTTTTGGGGACAAAAACACGGCCCTTGCTTCTTCCTTCTGTTTTCTCTCTTAGGATAGATTGTTAGTCTAAAACCTTCTTTGTAACTAGAAATATCTGTGTCCTACATAAAGTTTGAGAGTTATATGTATCCCATGTAATTTACCTTTATCCTCACAGGAACTAAACTTTCATTCCCTTACAGAAAAGCAATACTCTGTACTGAGCATATTGTATGAATAAAGTGATGTACTGAGCCAACTGGAAAAAAAAGTCATGGTCTTTGCCCTCGAGGAATTCAAGAGGCCTGATCAAACCTAAGACACATAAGTTTTGCATATCTCAACCTGAATTTTGACTAGAAAAGAAGTCACAGCAATTGAACATGACCCTGGAGACCAGGACCTCTAGATTCTAGCCTCAGAAGGTTTTCCTGAGGAATGTTTTCGTTAGGCTTTGCCGTGTCACAAACCATCTTGAAATGTAATGGCTTAAAACAACAAACATTTATTATTTCTCAATGTTCTGTGAGTTACCTGGACAGTTCTGATGTAGGTGATGTGACAGATCTCTGAGGTTGGTAGGTGGATCCTCTGGGGTTGGCTGGCCTCACTCACATACCTGGAGACCGAGAGGCTCCTTTGTTGAGGACTCTGCTGGGATGGTCTGTCTCTGCTCCACATGCTCTGTCATCCTCAAGCCCAGGTTTCGTGTGCTGATCACCTTAAGGCTGTCTCAGGAGACGGCAAGCTCCCATAAGCAAGCAAGCCTTTTAAACTTTCTGCTAGTGTCAGGGTGCCTCAGTGGCCCAGTCGGTTAAGCGTCTGACTTCGGCTCAGGTCATGATCTCACCATCAGTGAGTTCAAGCCCCCTGTCAGGCTCTGCGCTGAGAGCTCAGAGCCCGGAGCCTGCTTCAGATTCTGTGCCTTCCTCTCTCTCTACACCTCCCCCACTCACACTCTGTCTCCCTGTCTCTCAAATATAAATAAGCATTTAAAAAAATGAAATAAAATTTCTGCTAGTGTCATATTTGCTCTTGTCCCAGGCCAAAGCAAGTTACATGGCCATGCCTAGAGTCAGTGTGAAAGGTTCTCCCCAAGGAGGTGGACACAAGAAGGTGTGAATAATTTGAGGGACACTGCTGCCACAATCTATGGAGGAAAAGGAATTTAACTCCTTATCTCAGCTTTTATATAATGATATATACTATATATATATATATATATATATATATAATACCTTCTTTACTTGGCCTAGACAGACAAAAAGCAAAAAGAATAAATGCACAGAAGAAACTATCAAAGAAAAGCAACAATACAAACATTATAAATTTTACCTCAGTTTCTTCATTTACCTCTTCCACGTCTCGTCCACACATGACCAATCTCTCCCACTTATTGGAAACTCCTATTGAAAGTAAAGGTACTTAAAAATCTTTTTATTTATTTTTGAGAGATAGAAAGTGTGAGCAGGGAAGGGGCAGAGAGATGGGGTGGGGGGGGCAGAGGATGTGAAGGGGGCTGCCAGCACAGAGCCTGATGTGGGGCTCAAACTCGAGAACCGTGAGATCATGACCTGAGCCAAAGTCAGATGCTTCACTGACTGAACCACCGAGGTGCTCCAAAGGTAATATTTCAAAAGACATTTCCATGTATCTTATCATCTTCAGTGTGTAAATCCGCACACTTTAAGGGCAAGGTAGCATAGAGTGTAAGCAGACGTCTCATTCAGAAGCAGAGACCCAGGGAAGTCTGGCCACACACTAACTTCCCCAGTCCCCCCCCCCCCCCCCCCAGCGTTGCTCTGCCCCGCACAAGTTGAGCACCTGTGACGATAGCACTCACAAGGTTTACCACATAATAATGAACATGGCTAGACATTTACAGGGTCTGTTCTTGCTCCTAAATGCGTGTTGCTGAGTATTTCTGCAGATAACACCTCCGCAGATTCACATTCGATCAGCATTACTTCACCTTTATTAATGACTTCTTTTTCATATAATTTGTGATCTCTATCCTTTCATTTGATGAATAAGCATCTATTGCGCATTTGTTATAGGCGAAGAATTGCTGCAGAGATAGAGATGAATAACACACAGTCCTTGACCTGGGGGGTCGCTATCTAACGGAACGGTTAGATAACTAGCAACAAACTGTAAGGCAAACCGGAGAGCTGAGTGCTCTGGGGAGCATGGTGGAAGGAATGATTTATACCAATGAGATAAACTTGGGAAGACAGCATAAGAGAGATGACTTTTGTTCTGAGCCTTGATGAATGATGAGGCTTTCTCAATGTAGAGAGAGGGTGAGAGAATCCCATGCAGAGAGAACTGAATGATAAGCAGGTAAGGTTGAATGGACACGCATTCAGGGAAAGGAGATCGCCCAGGATCGTCTGAGTGTGGGGTATGCTGTGGTAAGTGGAAAAGGAGGTGAGGCCACCTTGTCAAGTTCTTGAATGCTCTTATTAAAGAATTATAATGGGGGTACCTGGGTTGCTCAGTTGGTTGAGCGTCCAACTTCGGCTCAGGTCATGATCTCACGGTTTGTGGGTTTGAGCCCCGCATCAGGCTCAGTGCTGACAGCTCAGAGCCTGGGGCCTGCTTTGGATTCTGTGTCTCCCTCTCTCTCTGTTCCTCCCTGGCTCATGCTGTCTCTCTCTCTCTCTGTCTCTCTCAAAATAAAAATAAACATCAAAAAAATTTAAAAAAGAGAGTTTACAGTGAGGGCCTTCAATGGACTATGATTAAAACACTCTCATGATGGGAATTACTTTAGAAATGCCGCTCTGGCTTCTGGCTCTTGACAAAATGGCAACCCATTTTAGGCTACTGGCTACCTTCCTCAAACCAGTGCTGGGAATGAGTGCCTCAGAAATGGAACAGTTGGTGAATCTGAGTATCTAATGTAATAACTGTGAGAAGCTTCTAGAGAGACAGCAAGTAATTGGGTCCACAGCTGGGGGAACTTTTATCTCCCCCATATTTCCATGGATAGATTACAGTTTATCCCAACTCCACTACACAGCAAAACAGAATCACTAGTCCTGCACCAGTAGGAAATAGAGCCTGTGGCTACATGAGGGCAGGCTTAGCCTGTGGGGAAAGGAAGGCGATAAGAGGTGCGGGTAGATCCACATTCCCTCTGAGAACAGGAGCTGCTACTACTCAGCAGAGTACAGGAGGCCTTGGCCAACGTGTTAAGACATGATAAAGAAGGGGCGCCTGGGTGGCTTAGTCGGTTAAGCGTCCGACTTTCGCTTGGGTCATGATCTCGCGGTTCGTGGGTTCGAGCCCCGCGTCGGGCTCTGTGCTGACTGCCAGCTCAGAGCCTGGAGCCTGTTTCAGTCTGTGACTCCCTCTCTCTCTGACCCTCCCCTGCTCATGCTGTCTCTATCTCTCTCTTAGAAATAAATAAAACATTAAAAAAAAAAAAAAGACATGATAAAGAAGGAACAGGTATAAGAATTTGAAAGGAAGTGATGGGTGCCTGGCTGGCTCAGTTGGTAGAGCATGTGACCCTGATCTTATTCGGGTTGTGAGTTTAAGCCCCACATTGGGTGTAGAGCCTACTTAAAAAAAAGAAAAAGAAAGAAAGGGACGCCTGGACAACAGATGTTGGTGAGGACGCAGAGAAAGAGGCTCTCTTTTGCACTGCTGGTGGGGATGCAAACGGGTGCAGCCACTCTGGAAAACATATGGAAGTTCCTCAAAAAATTAAAAATAGAACTATCCTGCAACCCAGCAATTGCACTACTAGGTATTTATCCAAGGGGTACAGGAGTGCTGTTTCAAAGGGGCACATGCACTCCCAATGTTTATAACAGCACTTTCGACAATAGCCAAAGTGTGGAAAAAGCCCAGATGTCCATCAACTGATGAATGGATAAAGAAGATGTGGTAGATATATACAATGGAATATTACTCAGCAATCAAAAAGAATGAAATCTTGCCTTTTGCAACAACATGGAATGATCTAGAGTGTTTTATGCTAAGCAAAATAAGTCAGAGAAAGACAAATATCATATGATTTCACCATTATGTGGAATTTAAGATACAAAACAGATGAACATAAGGGAAGGGAAACAAAAATAATATGAAAACAGAGAAGGAGGCAAACCACAAGAGCCTCTTAAACAGAGGACAAACTGAGGCTTGCTGTCGGGGTGTTGGGTAGGGGGATGGGCTAAATGTGCGAGGGGCAGTAAGGAGGACGCTTGTTGGAATGAGCACTGGGTGTTATATGTAAGCGATGAATCACTAAATTCTATTCCTGAAATCATTATTACACCATATGTTAACTAACTTGGATTTAAATTTTTAAAAAAGAAGAAAGAAAGAGAAAGAAAGAGAAAGAAAGAAAAGAAAAGAAAGAAAGAAAGAAAGAAAGAAAGAAAGAAAGAAAGAAAGAAAGAAAGAAAGAAAGAAAGAAAGAGGCGCTTGCGTGGCTCAATTGATTAAGCATCTGACTCTTGATTTTGGCTCAGGTCTTGATCCCAGGGTCATGGGATGGAGCCCTGCTTTGGGCTCCACACTGAGCACGGGGCCTCTTAATATTCTCTCTCTTGGGGTGCCTGGGTGGCTCAGTCGGTTAGGCATCTGACTTCGGCTCAGGTCATGATCACATGGTTTGTGGGTTCAAGCCCCGCATCAGACTCTGTGCTGACAGCCAGCTCAGAGCCTGGAGCCTGTCTTCAGATTCTGTGTCTCCCTCTCTCTCTGACCCTCCCCTGTTCACGCTGTTTCTCTCTCTCTCAGAAATAAATAAAAATATATTTTAAAAAATTTTTTAATGTTTTATTTATTTCTAGGAGAGAGAGAGACTGCGTGAGCAGGGGAGGGTCAGAGAGAGAGGGAGTCACAGACTCTGAAACAGCCTCCAGGCTCTGAGCAGGCAGTCAGCACAGAGCCTGACACGGGGCTCGAACCCACAAACCGCGAGATCATGACCTAAGCAAAAGTCGGACGCTTAACTGACTAAGCCACCCAGGCGCCCCAGAAATAAATAAAAAATATTTTTTAAAAAATTCTCTCTCTCTCTCCCTTCTTCTGTCCCCTCCCCTGTTTGTGTGCTCTCTTCCTCTTTCTCGATCTAAAATTTAAAAAAAAGAAAAAGGAAAGGGAATGACAAAACTGTCACTAATGATAGGTGATTTGATTATTATCCATATAGAAAATCACCCCCGAATTATTAGAATCCTGGCAAGGATGTCAGGAACAAGATGTGCTTACAGAAATCAGTAGCATTCTTCTATATTAGCACAAAACCATTTCTGGAGGGCAAATGTAAAACTATTAAAGGGCACAAAACAAGACTTGAATGAGCAGAGACATATGCCGTGTCGGGAGACAAGACTCCCTAACATGTAAAGATACCAATTCTCCCAAAGTGAATCTAAAAATGTAAAGCACTTCCATACACTCCTAATAATCTTTTTGTTGGAAAGGAAAGCATATTCAGAAATTTATACGGAAGAATAAAATCAAAATCCATAATTAGTTAATTCTCAGAAAAGAGCAAAGAGGAGGGACTTGCCTGACTATACTCCAGTGTCATGCAGAAACGTGCAAATAGGCCAAGGGCCACAAAGTGCCCAGAAACGTATATGCGTTTGGGTGTGAGTGTACCTGGTATGTAGGAAGAAAACGTACCACAATCAACCAGGACAGGGTAAGTTACTTAGTAGGTAATAGAAACTTAGTAGCAGAGAAACTGTCTCACTACATGGAGAAAAGTTAAGTTGAATCCTCAACACACATAAACAAAGGTGAACTTCAGATGTATTAAAGATTGAATATGAAAAGCAACCCTACAAAAAAAAACACACAGAAATATACACAGGAGAATATATTTATGATTTAATTTAAAAAAAATTTTTTTAAATGTATTTTTGAGAGAGAGTGAGAAAGACGGAGCATAAGCAGGGGAGGGGCAGAGAGAGACGGAAACACAAAATCTGAAGCAGGCTCCAGGCTCCGAACTGTCAGCACAGAGCCCGATGCAGGGCTCAAACTCATGAAGTGTGAGATCATGACCTGAGCCGAAGTCGGCCGCTTAACCAACTGAGCCACCCAGGTGCCCCAATTTATGATTTTAAAGTGGGGAAAGATTCTTTCAAAAACAAGACCTAAAAAGTGCAATCATTGGCCAAAATAATTGAGGGGTATGACTATGTCAAAATTAATGATAATGATGGCTATTATTACCAAAATTAACTGACAGGTGAGAGACTGGGAAAAAATATGTGAGACTTCGAAAACCAATAGGGATTGTTATCTAACATGTATAAGAAAGTCCTACAAATCAATCAGAAAAAGATGGAGAACCCAATAGGAAAATGGTCAGAGAATGTGAATATATGACTCACACAAGAAAGTCCACTAGTTCTGCTCAACCCCACCAGTTACAGATAAATGAAAATTCAAACAATAGCAAGAGATCTCTTTTTACCTGTGAGGTTGACAAATTCGGAGTCTGGGTAATAAGAAATTCTCGGGAAGTCTGAAACTCTTCTGGTTGCCTGCTGGGAAAGTACACTGCTAGAATTTTTCTAGGGCCCGTCAAAAATAAACAAAGCTGGACACTAGTTTATTCAAGGAGGGGAAACAAATTCTCCTATCTTTACGACTGGAGGCAGTAGTATGAGTCGCAGTGAGGTGCCTGCTCAAGTTAGGTCCTTATCTTCCCCTATGGGGAGGAGAGGAGAGTTATCTCCCTGAATATTTGCTCTTAGGTCTTTTAGGAAACAGTTTAAAGGGCAGAGAAAGAATTTATAATTGTAAGCTTTCTAAAGTAACTGCCCTTAGAGGAGGTTCAGGGCAGCACTGAAATTCATCCAGGCAGCACTGAATTTCATCCCAGGTGGGCCCTTCCCGGGGTGGGGTGGGGTGGGGGTGGGGGGGTGGCCAGGAGCATCCCAGGGATGACCTTAAGCTACTAAAGCTATGCTAGAGTTCCATCAAGTGGAAGGCTTTGGAAGGAGTCTTCAGAGGCCGAGAGTTCTGTAGTTCTCAGGGACAACCCAGCAGTACTTGGCCAAAGGAAATTGGCATCGATATTATGATTCCGTGATTCCCCTCCTGGGCAGATGTTTCAGAGAAACTCGTGCTCAGGTCCTAAAGGATCATCCACATGGACATTCGTCTCACCATAGCCGGCAGCAGGAGGTCGAGGGTATTAGCTAGGATAAGTTACTAGTTAGCTAGGATACTTATTGGATAAGTAAATGCGGTGGGCGGGTTTAAGAACAGAAAGCACACAAAATAACATAATGTATTTTATAAGTTCACATACATATCCAAGAACACGTTATCAAAAACATGCTGGGCACCTGGGTGGCTCGGTCGGTGAAGTGTCAAGCTCTTGATAGAGGCTCAGGTCATGATCTCACAGTTCATGGCCCCATGTGGGGCTCCCTGCAGACAGCACGGAGTCTGCTTGATATTCTTTCTCTCTCTCTTTCTGCCCTTCCCCGGCTGGTGCATGCTCTCTCTCAAAATCGATAAACATTTTTTTTTTTTAAACGAGACAGGAAGGCCTGTAGGAAGGAGGGAAACGTAAGTATCAGGGATGAAAGAGGAAAAACAAAAGGAAAGTAGCTCCTTATGCAGCAGGAGGATGAAGGGGACGGAAACTGGGAAACTGGCTCACTGCACTGCAGTCTGGGTGGGGGAGGGGGAGACAGAGAGAAAGGCTGTCATCTGAAGAATGAGAGGCTGGGGGGCTGGGGGGAGCAGGGGAGGGGAGTTGCTGGGCAGTGTGGGTCAGGGGAGGGCAGCGGTCAGAAGGAGAGTAGAGGCAATAGAAATAAAAATAAACCGGGGCACCTGGGTGGCTCAGTTGGTTGGGCGGCCGACTTCAGCTCAGGTCATGATCTCACGGTTCGTGGGTTCGAGCCCCGCGTCGGGCTCTGTGCCTACAGCCAGCTCAGAGCCAGGAGCCTGTTTCAGATTCTGTGTCTCCCTCTCTCTCTGACCCTCCCCTGCTCATGCTCTCTCTCTCTCAGAACTAAATAAAAAAATTAAAAAAAAAAAGAAATAAAAATAAACCATCAGTGTTGATTAAGGACATGCTGTGTACCAGGCACTATTAGGTTCTTTCATTCAGTTTGGGATCCCAGCTACAACCTGAAGGGAGAATCCTTTATAATGGATGATGCACTTGAATGTGGGATAGAGTCAGAGGCGACCCCCATGGTTTCTAACTCAGGCACCTGGTAGGATGGTGGTGCCATTCACCAAAGTAAGAAATAAGTGAGATGGGGAACACACAGTTTCATGGCCTGGGATCTCCCGACCCTTCACTTTGAAAATCAAGATTCTAAGAAGTTATTCCTACTCAAGTGCATGAGAAGTAACATTCATTGTGCTCCTAATAATAATTGCTATTTTTGTAGCAGCAACAAAAAAAACCCTGAGTGCTTATAGCACATTAGATGTCATGCTTCAGCTGTTTGTCCCCATCAGCTCATTCACAGCCCACCAAAGTACTGTTATCATCTCCATTTTATTGATTAGGAAACTGGAGCTTAGAGAAGCACCTGCCTAAGGTGCCCAGGTCACAGAGCCGCTACCAACCCATGCCTTCTGGTTGGTTCCTTAGCCCTACCACGTATCAGACACCATGCCGCAGGCTTGATTTTCATACAGTTCTCACAAGTCTTCATGAGATAGGCTTATTCTCTTCATTTTACAAACGAGGCAAATGAGCCTCAGAGCACTTCGGTGGTGGGTCCAACCTAACAGTCGGAAGTGGCAGAGTGCGATTCAGACCCAACAGCTGTGCTCTCTTCTTAATACACAGCGGCACCACTGTCAGTGCTACTGCTCAAACTACTCCTCATGTTATTAATTCAAACCCCATCCCTTGGACCGGAGGGGTTGAAAGAGACATGTTAACCAACGGCAAGGCATGGATCTTGTCTGGAGCACGAATCAAACAAGTGGTCAGTAAGACAACTGGGAAAACATGATACTGAGGAATTACTATAGATTTTTGTAAGTGGTGGCAACACTGATTATGTTTTAAATAAGGGGGTCCTTTTTGAAACAGAAATATGTTCAGGTGAAATAATACAGTGGCTGTCAAAGTGTGGCCCCTGGATCTGCAGCACTGGTATTATCCAGAAACGTGTTAGAAAGGCAAATTCTCAGGGCGCCTGGGTGGCTCAGTCGGTTAAGCATCTGACTTTGGCTCAGGTCATGATCTCGAGGTCTGTGAGTCTGAGCCCCACGTTGCGCTCTGAACTGACAGCTCAGAGCCTGAAGCCTGCTTCACATTCTGTCTCTCTCTCACTCTGTGTTCTTCTCCTGCTCTCTCACTCTCTCAAAAATAATTAAACATAAAAAAAAATAGAAATGCAAATTGTCAGTCCCACTCCAGACTTGCAGAATCAGAAACCGGGGGTGGGGTCCCGCAATCCGTGTTTGAATAAGCCCTCTAGGGATTTTTGATGCCCAGTCCAGTCTGAGAACCATGGAAAGAACGTTGAATCGTAAATTTGTTTCAAGCCAGAGCAGGGAAGGGGTGATGTGTTGGTGAGGGTATAGATGAAGCAAGGATGGGCATGAGGTACCAATTGTTGAAGCTGGGTGATGGGTACATGGGGGTTCATTATAACTATTCTGTTTGTTCTTAAAACATTTTCTTAAAGTTTATTTTGAGAGAGGGAATGTGCATAACGTGTGTGCGTGTGCAGGGGAGGGGCAGAGAGAGAGAGGGCGCCAATCCCAAGTAGGTCCCTGCTCAGCACAGAGCCTGACTCGGGGCTCAATCCTAGGAACCACAAGATCACGACCTGAGCTGAAATCAAGAGTCAGCCACTCAAATGACTGAGCCACCCAGGTGCCCCAGGATTTAATTTTTAAGTAATCTCTGCACCTAACGTGGGGCTAGGGGCACCTAACGAATCCACAACTCCGAGATTAAGAGTCACGCCCTCCACCAACTAAGCCGGCCAGGGGCCCCTGTACTGTTTTTGTGTGCATGTGGGAGCTTTCCCTCGTACAACGCTTTCACACATCTGAACCACCTTTTGTGCAGTGCAAGCCCTCACTGCTCTCCCCTTGCTGCTCGCGGTCCCTTTCCCTCCAGCTCTCCTCCATCTGGAACATTCACTCCTGGCTTCAGAAATGGCAGCTCCTTTTCTTCTCCTTATTTACCTCAAGCTTTCCAAATCTTTGAGACTCTTCTGCTCTTGCCTTGTCTCCTTGTCCTTCCTGCTGACGCTAAGGACCCATCTCTTATCAGTTGCCATTTCCCTCCTACCAGCCTTCTCTCTCACTCTGTGTTTGCAGAACCAGATTTCTCGGAGGCACTGCCTGCCTGCCTGTCATTCATTGGAGACCTTTTCTCTGCATTTGATATTTGGGACCTTGCTGCTGCTTTTGCTGGCACTCAGACTTCCCTTAGGTAGTGTGGAGAAGAACCAGTGGCTCAACATGGCATTACTGAGGCCAAGCCTTGAAACGGGCTTGATACCTCACCTAATTGTAGCTTCAACCTTCCCTAGAAATGTAGGTGTCACCAGTCAGTCGGCACCCATGAGGCGATCCGTCACGAGGGTCCTCTCCACCCTCCTCAAAAGAAGATGAAGGAATCTGCTTGAGGAGACCTCTGCCCTTTTCCCAAAGGGAAAGTGCCCTGGCCCGGAACTATCATTTCTTTTGCTAATGACGTCTTTGTCCCACCCTCTTTCCTATAAAAACCTCCCATTTGGTGTAATTTCTCTTGGGAAGCTCCCTTCCACTAACAAGATGGGATGCTGCCCGATTCTTGAATCGCTTCATAAAGCCAATTAGAGCTTCAAATGTACTCAGCTGAATTTTTGTTTGTTAACAGTAGTCTGTTGCTTCTTTTACGTCAAAAAAGAAAACATTTGCCTCTTTCAAGGTTTTTAAATTTTAACTTGTGTGACTGTTTCCATTTGTAACAGATTTGCTTAAAAAAAAAAACACCCAACAACAACAACAACCGAAAAACCTCAAACAATACAGAAGTGTAACAAGTAAAACTGTCACCTTGTTTCGTGGGACAGGGTCTTCAGTGTTTACTTCCTACTGCCCTAGCTAATTGCTTTTCTGGGTCTGAGTTCATCCCTCTTCTGGCTCTGCTCTCCCCTCCCCCATCCTGCCTCCCCTACCTTAGGTTCCCCAGGACAGCACTTATTCTATGGAACTGGAAGACCACGGCCCATTGATTCTTTTTTTTTTTTTTTTTTTGAGAGAGAGAGAGAGAGAGAGAGAGAGGGAGAAAAGGGGTGGGGGAGGGGCAGAGAGAGATGAGGCATAGAATTCAAAGCAGGCTCCAGGCTCTGAGCTGTAGCACAAAGCCTGATGGCGGAAGATCATGACCTGGGCTGAAGTCAGATGCTTACCCACTGAGACACCCAGGCGCCCCAACCCATTGATTCTTTGGGCTGAAAGATGGAGAACATTCAAAGGGGGAGGAATAAGTGAAATAGAGAAGAAGAAAGGAAAAGCACAACCAGCGAGTGGGAGGAGGGTGGCTGGCAACCTAGAAGTGGGACAAGGGAAAAAATGCCCAGCTCTGGATGTCCTGGATGTGTAGGTCTGA